TCATTTTTGTATCATGCTTTAAGTTAATCAGTCTCTAGCATTCAGCAGCAATGTCCTGTAATGTCAAATGGGGTAAAAAATAATAAAAGATAGTGTATCGGCTATACGCCGTAACGGCGCTTCGCTGCCGCGCGACCACCACCAGTCGCGCGCGGGCTGAGTATACCGCGAGGACGCCCACCCCTACGCGGATTCGAACCGGTGACCTTATGGTTGCAAACCAAACGTGCAGACCACTCGGTCACCGGCCGACAATGTCAAATGGGGTTCCTGCTCTAACTTGTGTAGGATGCGTGTGCGCACATCGGCATGCGATTGAAGACTGCAAACAAATATGAGACTTTTGAACTGATCAGGTGTCATCGCACCGAGTTTAAAACGTTCACACTCTCGGTTCACAACTCCAGCATGTGTTATAAAACCATGGCTATCACGTTTGCGTGATAGCCATGGTTTTATAACACAAACACTTTAAACAATTATAACGGATACTGAACAAAGATGCTTGCTCACCGAAAATGGACGCCAGAATTTGCACAGTCTCATCGAAGCAGAGATCTCTTGGAGTCTTTGGCAACACAATTTGTATAGCGTTCATGCTCAACTGCACCAAGTTTACGCAGCAACAACCGAACTTTCCATGCATCATCTTGCGCCGCCAACTCAACCCAAAAAAAATATCTTCATATTTCTTGAACCAGGAATCAAAAGTTACTCCGTTTGATTCGTCGAAAACGAACTCTGAGCTTGCTGTCATAACGACGTCTATTGAAGATCGTGTGCCAGCAGGTTGGGGCTCAGATTGAACGTTCAACTTCTGCGCAAATAACTCGAACAGTTGCCTCTGGGATTTCTCGAACTGGAGCTGCTGCTGATGGAGAAGCTGCTGCATCTGCTCAAATGAAATGGACATTTTTGTGCAACACCTCTGTCGCCAGAATCTGTTGTGTCCCCAGGGTTCGACTTAGCAGCTTCTTAGTTTGCGCCACGCGAGTCAAAAGACAACGCACCGGACAGGAAGTATATTTGCGAAACACTGCACGGGCCAACGTGGGTATGAAAACACTCTGATTACAGTTCAAATCACGGCTGAGTGCTAATTTGAATTTATCGATCTCAAAGAATCACGGGACGTGTGAGTGGTATGAAACAAGCGGTTATGACAAATGTTCTGCCACACAGAAAAACTAGTCTGATTGTAACTGAGACTGTTCTGATACAAGGCACACGGTTACTTGGGGAAATTGCGCACTTACCTTCCCGAACAAGTAAATTTATTTCGTTTCTGTGCGCATTTGACTTTGGTATGACCTAACACTAACTGAGCATAATTCGCTCTGCGGCACCTGAGAACAAAGTGACTCAGAAGCAGACGGACAAATCCATGCCTCCTGAAAGCATTCCACCTTTAATTGAGCGAGAGTGCCGGTAGGACCCCTTACTCCCCAAGGCCAGCGGCGAAAATTTGTTAGGAGAATCCGCGATTTCCCGCTTCTCTTATTTCCCGAGCCTCCTGACTCCACCAGACTTTCCTGTCGGCTTACAGATCGCTTGGTTCGAGCCTGGTAGTCTGTTTGATCGCAATGTACTTAGTGTCCACAGCTTCGCTGCGCTCTCGAACAGTCATCGTCCAATGCCGTGACGACTGACAGCACCGCAAGCAGAATCTCCGCTGCCGTGCATGGCAGCCATGATCCCATTCCATGATGACTGGACCTCATCCGAGCAGGATTAGGGTGGTATGGCCTCTAACCATGACTTGAAACAGATTCTCGGTCACCAGTTCAGTTGGTTGATTGCTGCGCTTCCCAGCAAAGCTGTACGGCATCTGGCGACATACTACGCATGATGGTGATCGAGACACGCATTCTATATAATGGTAGAGCCGTACCACTTGAATCATCTATGGGTTCATCGCTAATCGGTTGCCGGAGGTCATCTCGCAGCGCTACTTAGATGCAGCCAATGTTGGATTCAATCACAAAAGGCCGTTGCAGGACCCTTAGTCACTTCACTTGATGGTGAGAAACTGGTGTCGGTGACTCGATTGTGGAGGGGTCCGATTGTTTTCCTAGGTAGGTTGGCTATTTTGACTGTAGTCGTTACTTGCTTCGCCTATGTTGGCAGTTGCATTAGCGACAAAGATTTAGCTGCCGAAGTTAGCTTACACGTGACGAAGGCTGGAATCGGCGACACTCCTAGCTTCAGGAGATTTACTCCTCGATCCTGCAGATTACGTTCGAAATATTTATTTAAAACCTCGGTGATGATCCATCTACTCGATGGCAGAGAGAATTGATCCTTTTTGGTCTGAGTATCTCAGGCGCCTTCAGGTCTTCAACCACCATTGTGTACTTGCGTCGGGTAGTGCTAGCGCGTCTGCGATGTGTGTAGGGCTGAGTACGTGTGCTGGTAAGCACTACGTTTATCCACCGCTCAATCCTTATAGACACTGGCTTTGTTTTGTTCGCTTTCGGATTGCTTATATTTCGAGAAAGTTGCTCACTCAGTAATGCAGATGAATTCTCAGCTAGAGCGCTGCTACTATTGGTCTCGGATCCTTGTTACCCATTCTATGCGTGACTCGAGACCCTGCAGGATATCAACCTTATTCCATCACCAGTAGCTTGTCTGCTGCTGTTTAGTGTCAGGCAGATTGGTTTGGTGTGACTTATCTCTGGAGTGAGGTTACTTGCGTGGCGACAAAAACCGCGAACAGCATTTCCTATCAACACCTCCTTAGCTTCGCACGATGACTAACTGTTTGTTCCCTCGTGTTGTTGGCAAGATGTGCTCATTTCTATCATGAATGGTTGCTCTTTTCATTTGTGTTTTATACTGAGTCCTCTGTTTTCCTCTTCTTATCAACTACTATTGATAATCATTATGGTTATGCAGTGGCTAAACATCTACGCAAATTGCTGTTTCAATGCCGTTGCTAGTGATTGTTATTTGACGTTGAAGGGGTTGAGCTAATACCGAAGGATTGAGCCTCTCTGGGGAGGGTTCATCTTGTTGGTTACATTCCTCGGATATCACTACAATGTCATCGCACTATCTAAATTACCCTTTTCTTTGCAAGTTCCTATTAGTTTCATTCTGTGGTCTAACTGTGTGATTCAGCTGCTGCAAAATTGATTGGAAGTAGAGAGATAGGGCAAAAGAAACGAACTAACTTCGGTTGATAAGATATTCGACACCCCACCGTGGACATTCACGCGACTTCAAACATGCGGATATATTGCTCGTAATGCGTTAAGACATTTCATCAACGTATCTTTCCGGAGATATATCTTGTTGGTTTTTCGCGGAGCTACGTAGCCGAACCAATCTGCGTCTCAGGCATATAAGCGTTACTGGGCAGTCGATTTCGTCAAGCATACTGCTCAGATCGGGGGACATGGCTATGGTCGATTTTCGTAGGTTCGAGACACTGCCCTAACACATGTCAACGCGTAGCTTTAGTCTACTCATCTTGGTCCCGATCGTGCACCTACCAGCTGTTCTCCAAAAAGGTACTGCGGTCGACAGATTAGGATTGCGACCAATCACTATCAATGGCAAGCTTGTATCCCTGTGCTTGGCGCATACACTTGGATATTGCCGTTATGACTGAAGCACCTCGGATGACTGGATGTATAATTTCCGATCTTCTCCAACAAATGTGTCGTTTCTTTGCACGGGACTTTATCAACACAATTTATCGACGAGGTGAGTGGTGGTGCTTATCGGCAGCTTGGCATCCACTGAAAATTATGATTGCGTTTCGAAACTGCTGCTGATAGAGTCTCAAAACTGACCACTCATGGTTCCTTTTACGCTATCTGTATCCGCAGTGCCTCGGAACGGGTGGTAAATTGAATTATTACCGCAAGTACTCTGCCTATTAAACTGCACGGCCTTCCCTACTGTGAATTAGGAGACCGGTGCTGGTTCTGTTTGTATTTTTGACTACTTCCTTCCTAAGACCAATGTTTGTGAATCCCTTGAGCGGAGCTGCGGCTTCGCAGCGAGACCACGCCTTATGGTTACGTGTTGCAGTCTATTGGATATGCTGAATGGTGCATTCAGGCTTCTTGGTGGCTGCTCTCAGCAGATTGGCGGCTCTAACAAATATTTTCTAGGTCGGATGTTGCAACTTGACTCACGCTCAATTTTCTGATTCACCTTGTGTAATATTATTGTCAACATTCCTCTACATGGCGGTAAGGTTTTTACCTAGGTGTACTGGATAAGAAAGTTTCCCGTTCAACATGTTGAAAAATGCTTGGAACCCATCGAGAAATCATGATTTTAGTAGGGTTTGGTAACAACCGGTTGATAGTTTGTGGTGAACTTGTCGCTTTTGATACAAAATGTTTATCTCTCTCTTGTAGCAGTCTCAGTGTGACCAACCTAAAGGTTTCTAAGGTCCCATCCTTCATCCACTTCCATTTTCTACACCTCAATAGCAAATATACGTTGCTTATACCGCTCTCACCACGTCGTGGTATTAACGGTCTCTGCTTAACTGGTCTATTTTGCTTGTGAAATATTTGTAATTTCCGGACATCAGTGTCCCCTCATCGGTTAACCAGCATACTACCTTGTCAGTACCTGGTTGACAGCTGGCATTGCAAGATCACTGGATCCCTGATCGTACGGAAGTTTGCGCTTCTTTGATGTTTCCTAGTCCGCGTACAATCGCTGGCAGTCTCATAGCAGCGAAGAAACGGCACAAAGTACTGGTATACTGTTGGTGCTTTCTTACGCATTTTACCGACTTCACGGCAAAATCTGGCGTCACATGTGTGATTTGACTTAAAGGACCCCTTCCTGTGCCTTATCTGACTGCAACCGTTTGCACGTCCATCTTGTATGCTGCACTCATCTATAGGTGCGAACCGTCAGGCCGTGTATTTATGCTGCGACTTCGCGTGACGCTTATCCAAACTGACAACGTTAGACCTCAACAGTTCCATCCAAAGTGCACATTCTTCCGCTGTTCATATGAACAGGTTCTGCAAGCCATCTGATTATATTCTATAATAAACATTGCAAATTCAACATGATTACGTCTCAACTAGGGGCAGCGACGAAGTCAGTTGCATGTTTGTCTTCCACGGGTTGCAAAAATTGCCCTTGGTCCCCTCACGTATAACCTTGTAGCTGTTCTCTAGACGGATAAGCCTGTCTTCTCGGTAGACACTGTATCTTATCGATTCTGATGGTTTCTTCTTTCAGTTGAATTTCTTTCTCCAAATTCATCTGCAGATTTTGCAACTTTTGCAACTTGTTCTCTGCTCTCTCTTTTTCACTTGAGAGAATAGCCAAAGATTCGGCCAACATATCGGCCTCTGCTATCAGGCTGAAAGAAAGTAGATGAGGATTTTAGTTCAGGTAGGGCATGTATGATACGTCCGTTGCAACTTCGTGATATGCGAAGTCGATCGGATATGACTGTTGTCTCGCAGAGGAAGTTTCTTCTGTATGACACTTACGTAACACCGGATTACGCCTGGTCGGTCTAGTATCCCTCGTGAGAAGCCTTCTCGTCGCATTTAAGAAAATTTTCTACGTGGGTTTACTGGTGCTTTGACTCTGACTTTACAGTACCCGAAAACCAGTTGTTTCCTTATCACCGATAAAGCAGTGCACTAGCTAATTGAACTCACGCATGTGATTATTATGGCTTCTGTGAATGGAATTTATAAAAAAGAAAAGGGACTCTTCGTAGAACCTAAATGCCCAAGGTATATGTTGGTTGCTGTGGCGACACACGAGCCAGGATCGTCTGACGTAGATTCAACTGGATGGAAACGTAAGCATGCGACGATGACAAGTAAAGACAATGATTCTTCTATCCTAACATCTCCATAGTCTGCATCTCATACGGCAAGCGAGTAGTCTATCGCTTTTGCGAAGACTTTTTATAGCAAGCATGTATTAGTTTGAATGGAAGCCTGGCAAGGAAGTCCAGTAGAATTGTCGGAGGAAGAGCTTACCGCCCTAGGACAGCGGACTCGCTGTTCTCGAGATCTCACACCGCGCCACTTATCGTCCACGTCAGTCTGTCGACAGGCGAATATTGCCAAATCGGATGACATTCTTTGATCAGATGGGATACATGTGTATCGTTTACCCCAAGTGCTCGTCTTCACCTCCCTTCCTTACCTTGTGTAACTCATCCAGTGAGAGTTCTCATTCGTGTCTGCCTTTTATCTCAAGTGCTGGCGGATCCGCGCTACTGACGAATCTAAATAGAACAAAACGGCCGTCTAGCGTTTTCCTGGATATGTTCTGGCCATATGGCTGAATCTAGCTGCAACCAATCCACACAAAAAGTACAATAAATCCCCCGTATTACTCTCTAAATGCCGAAGAATTGTGGATCTGTATGCGACATCGGGGATGAAGTTATAATTGTTTACAAACTGACGTACTCACTTGACTGATGGAAGTTCTAGATGCTAGACACTGATTCTTTGTGTTGTCTGCTATTAGTAAGGAACATACGTAATTTAAGCATGATTTGTCACCCTCGTAAGTCTATTTCGGAAATGGCATCCCCATGAAAGCTTATGGTTAACCGCACGATTATAATAACCTCACACCGTGCAACCACACCACGCCTTGCATGAGGTTCAAAAACGCGAATAAGCCATCCATCTTGGATCTTGCGCTTATTGTGCCGGATCCCCGCTGATGCCATGGATAGTGGGACTTCGGATAGCGGTAACCCTAGAGACTGTGTCATTCGATGACATCTTTTAGATAATACATCTCGGAGAAGAGACTTGGAGAGTACTTACCTCTGCGATACGATGCACTCAGTCCATGAAAATATTGCTTGGGCATTGTTTGGTGCCGTTGCGAAGGTTTAGAACCAAATCAAGTACATGGCTGCTAATTCATTGCAGACTATGGCTACCGGTCCGTGTTTCAAATTCGTGTCATTTTTAGTCACGGAGTTCCAGTGCGAACTTAACAGATTGACCACGAGGAGTTTGTAAGCCCTTTCAAAGTCTCCAAACAAAGACAGTATACATGGACCAAAGTTAACATCGCGTACGACCGACCATCGTGCATAGGCTGGTCCGCCGACAGAAAATGGATAGACGACTTCACTCAACCCGCATGCTTCTGTATAAGTGGATAGGCTTCTTCCTTCGCGGAGTGCCACTACTCACATCTGACAGACGCATGCAAGCGTTATCGGTAAACATTCGGCAGCCACAGTACTCCTCGATTTTCCAGAGTTAAGGTTTGTGATTCTTCCCGTTTGTTACCCCATCACCAATACTAGCCCTGGCACCACAAAAATTGCGTCAACTTAGTGTAGGAGCACACCACTTCTTACTGGAACATGTAACATCCACCCTAAGACAGCACTGTCGGCGGTGTCTTGACGCAAAACGTGGTGTACCCACGTGAAAAATAGACAGTGTCATCCCTATTTATACGGCAGACTATCACGCTGCATCTGAAAATTACTGCCCGATGACGGTATTACATGGGCCTTCCAAATCCATGAAAGAAAACTTCATCGTCGCATTCATGAGCTACTTGAAATCGTACAGTTACTTCACACCAGAACAGCATGGCTATCGTTAGTATCAGTAGCCTACGGATGACGCGGATGGAATCAACATCATCTCCATTGATCTATTGAATGTGTTTACTTGGGTTGATCACTGTGACATGCTTTATGGCTTACCTATTTGTGGTATTTGTGACTCGATCCTGCGATGCGTCGGTATGTTTCCGTATGAACCACACTTACAAGTGAGAGTCCATAGATCCCGGTTAATGGTTTCTCGAATATTGGGCATATCACTTCTAGGTTTGCCATCTGGAGTTCGTAAACAAACTATAAAGATTGGTTCCTTCAAATTTTCTAATCTAATGTTAGTACTAAGATGGACTGTCCAATAGTTGGACGGCCACAGAGCATTCAGTCACTAACTTACTGAGACTTCTAATCAGTCGAACCAAGGTGGACTGCTATCTACGCCAGTTTAAACCACTAGGTTGTATGTTTGCAGCTATCACGGTTACGTTCACCTTTTAAATCTTAGTTAACATAATTCGTGAATCTCATGCTAGGAATGTATCACCGGAGAGTTTTTAAACGGCAGCCTCAACCATTTGATGCGATTGAATTAGGAAGCAAGAAGAAAGTACCAACCATTCGATCTCACTTAGAGGGTACCCAATCCATAGTTACCCTCGTTCTCACACAGAATATCTTGTTGTAAGGTGACGAGCATGACATGATAGGGATCTTCCTGCCAAGTCTGTGGCACGCTTCTTGAAGAGAAGGCCGAAGTCGCAGGAAGTTAATTTCCGCCGGTGTATCGCACTCCGAACATGCGAAATTTCAACTTATACATACGTACATGTGATTGGCGGCATCCGGTTCCGGATTTGCCTGTCACTGTGGCCTCCACGGGGACAGCCACAGGACGCCTGCGCCTACAGAGGGACCATGGGTGGCTTGCGCTGCACCACCCACAGCTTCATCCATATCCAGTGTAAACCCGAAGGAATAAGACCGGGAGGCATGTGGATGGGAGCACGTTTCATCGATAGAGGCGGCCCACACTCCTTCACAGACAAACAGAAGCACGCTGCATTTGGGAATCAATCGCACACCATGCGGTGGCTGGACCGTAGTCCGCTACCCACTGAGTGCATGGAACCACTCTTTGAGCCTTGCACGATCCTCGTGGCCGTGCACCCCGTCCCCTCCAGCAACGACCAACTGTCTCCTGGAGCCAGTATGAACGAGGTAGTGGGTAATAGACAGGTAGGCACCTTGTCAACATGCACATCAAGCGCAGCCACACCGGGAATATCAAGCAACAGACAATAACTTGAAATGACAAGATGAAATAAAATAAATCGAATAATGCATACAGATACGGTGGCATAACTCCACTAAATGAGCGTATCAAAAATGATTACGAACGAATCCGCGATAATTTCAGAAGGTCAGAAAACATATTTTAAGAAAATGCCACAGACGCGAAAATGTTATCGAAGTTAACTACAATTAGCTCAAGCGACGTATGCAAGTTTACGGAAGATAGTTCAGGTAGACATTAGTCTGAGGTAATAAAAAGCATTAGGACAATATATCAAATCCACCACCTGAAATAAAGACTCAGCATGCAATCACGCGGTTAGTAAATCGAATGCAGCGTACCTACAAACGCTGCGCCGGTTCTGCCTACGCTCTCAGCAGGACTCGTCGTCGTTTCGGTGTTGGTCCCGAGTGTCCTCGCTCATGGCTCACTGGGCCTGCCTGATCCAGGCACTCCCGACTGCATGTGCTACAGCACCATGCACTCGGTGTCGATGGAGTACAACCCACCGGCGTCTGTCACTTCCGCAATTTCTGTTTCTTCTCTGCATGCACGATGGATTTCTCTTGCACCTCGGTAACGGCCTTCGTGATCAGATCGCGCCATGCACGCCGATCAGCCACTTTCGATTGCCAAAACCTGCAATCAAGATTAGAACGTGAGAGGCTCAATTTGATCATGTCCTGGTAACGAAGCTTCGGTTTCCCCACATGCCACTTCCCTAAACTCAGCTGACCATATATTAGCTGCTTCGGTATCCGCGTCGAATCCATACGCCACATATGACCGAGCCACCTCAGGGGGCTCAGGAGAATGATGCAGTCCACTGCATATATTCCACTTTGGCGTAACACTTCCGTGTCCGCAGCTCTGTCGCACCAAAAATCGCGCGGAATCCGTCGCAGACACTGTTGGTGGAACCGTTCGAGATACCACACATCCCGCCGGTACATCGTCCACATTTCACTGCCGTATAGAAGAACGGACAGCACCATGGATTTGTACACCATCAGCTTCGTGCCAACGGTAATCTGATGGTTGTTCCACACTCGGTACTCAAGCATCCCGAATGCCGCCGCTGCCTTCGAGACGCGGATACGAAGCTCACTTTGTATCTGCTGATCAGTCGACACCACACTCCCACTGTAGAAGAAGCGGGAGGTGGTTTCCATCACTTTCTCACTAATGCTGCTTCGCGGCAATATTGAAGATTGCACCTCCGGTGAAGGCTGAAATAGACAGACAGTTTTCCTTGTGTTGATGGTGGGCCCGAATTTTGCTACTGTCGAAGCCAGAGCACCAGTCATGTGCTGCAACTCATCCGCGATATGTGCAAACAACGCAGTCCTCAGTGAACCGCAGCCTACGGATAGTTGTCTCACAGACTAGGGTTCTCGCACCGAAACGACGGGCATTCAGCAACCCATTAGCAATACGCTGCAACACACGAACATCGTAAGCACAAGCGGCATCAAAAGCACAAGACATCATTGCATGAAGA